TAATATTTCCACATAGTGACGTAGATATGTGGGGGCGTGTTAGAACGAGCCGTTTTAGGTAAGCGTGGCTGACTCTTAACTTTTATAAAGAATATCTCTTTGGATTTGAGACTTTAGTCTTTGCAACTTTACAGATCTTCTTTATGCACCAAGAGCTTGTAACACTCCAAAGGAAAAATTTTAATCTCATCATATGACCCCTTTAAAGTAACACAAGAACCATGAGACTGCGTAAAAGATCACTTCAGAGCACTGTGATGTTTGCTTGACTCACCTCTGAGCTCCAGCCTCTGTTTTGTTTTTGCAGAGAGACATGCTGGACGTCAATCAGGTTATGAAAGACTTGGCCAGCATGGTGCATGAACAAGGAGACACCATAGGTGAGATCTTATTTGTGTGTGTGTGTGTGTGTGTGTGTGTGTGTGTGTGTGTGTGTGTGTGTGTATTTGTGGCTCTATTTTTCCAGTTAAGAGTCTATTGACTCATCCTTGTTTGTCTGGCCTTTTACTTCTACCCCCCATATCCATCCCATAATCCCCTGCTGTGCTGAGGTGAAGTTTCAGTGGAGAACAAGACATCACCTTCATCAGCTCAATACATGACAGACAGAGGGTTAGTCTCTGCAGCGTGAGGCCTCTAGAGGAGACTAAGATCAGAGAAGATCCTCAAAGATTAAATTTATAGTTAACAGGCAGAGAAAGACAGACGGATACTAAACAGGCTAAGCATGACTCAGGAGCTGCGTCACTGGTTACATATATATATATATATTATTTATTTTTTAATTATTATTATTTAATGGTATAGTCAGTATTGGATATTTAACTGGAAATTCTCATTTCTCTTATGTTTACATTTAGTTTACGTTTTACACTTACTTAGAGCTAACCTTTAAAAACAATCATAATTTAATAACAGTTAAATATAAACTTTAACAAATTTCAAAACGAATAAAATATTTTTAAATATTAAACTAAATTTTAATACTGCACATGATAATGTTGTGATGCTTAAATTCACTTGATTTTAGTTTTTAGTATTCTGAATTTACTTGTAAATAATAGTATAGAATAGAAATAAGATAAATAATACAAATTATTTTTAATATCAGCCATAACATCAAAATAATTATTGGCCTTTCTGTATCGTCCAGAATTTTAATATCTGGATCTTAATAAATATTACTGTAAATGAAAAAGCTGTTTTGTTGACGCTTCACAAGGTTCGGGGGTGTGAACCATAACATGTGACCCGCCCATATGCGATGATATTATGCATAAACATTTATATCAGGTGTTGGAGACACGTTGATGTTATTTTGGGTAATTTAGTTCTATTTTAACTACTTTTTAATTTATTTTGCCTTTTTTAACCATGACATGTGACCCTTAGTCATGACCTCTCTGTTGGATAATGCCCATTTCTATTCGAATTGGTACCCATCCAGCGCAGTGTCCTTTCGTCCAGCTGATTTAATTAATCCTGTGTGCATTGTACATTCAACAGGCCAGATGAGTAAAGGTACTATTCCTTCAGGAGATGTTAAGGATGTGCTTTGCACATTCTTCATCCTAATTTAACACTCTCACGGTCACAATACAACAGCAGCTCAAGGTAAAAGGAGAGAAAATGGAGGTGTAACACAATAAGAAAGGAGTTTGTGAGCGAAAAGGGATATTGAAACTTTCCTTGTCCCCTACTTCCTTCCTTGCCCGGACACTTAACATTCACACAGGGAAATGATGTCAGACACGTTGAAGGTTATCACAAGTTATGACTAGCGAAATAGTTAGAATCTAGTGGGACACACAGTATACAATAAACCACCCAATAATGTCATTCTGCCCTTTAGAAGGACACTTGAGTATGTAGGTGGACTATATTTTATTTTGTTTTCATCTATGCCATATTCAGGTCTTCTCATCATGCTACTTGCATTAAGATTTTCATATTGTTTAATTTATTTTGTCACCTTCTGGTTTCTCTTCCCCTGCAAGCGTTGTTTAAAAGATGGTGCATTTGTTCTGTTTCAAAACCAAGCCTCTTTAGGCCACATTTAATAAAAGTTTAACTAAAATTAAAAGGAAAACAGAATATATACAACGTCTCGGTTACGTATGTAACCCTCGTTTCCTGAAGGAGGGAATGGAGACGTCACGTCGTGACCGACGAATTGGGATCTCGTTTCGAGAGACCAATATACTTTGAGTGTAAATAAACGAGCCAATGCACATTGGCATGCAATTATTGCAGATGGGGGCCCGTCCAAACCCCCGACACTGCATGCCCGTTGTACGTGGCCCCCCAGCCGGTGGTGGAGGCATCCGTGTAAACCACAGCATGCCTGGAGACCTGTTCTAG